TGAAAGAGATTTGGATACATTGGCATTGATGGAGATTTGGCATTGATGGAGGTGAGCAAAAATTTTGTTTTCATATTGGGAGACTTCCAGAAAAATAAAAAAAGACTTTAAGAGAAATAACGATATAGGCTTAGGCAAATTTTCTTGAGATGGATGAAGGTGAGATGGAAAGGGACATGGATCAAATTTTTAGAATAAGTTCCCAAGCGGTGATGCAAAGAATGCTTCCAAGGGATAGTCTTAATTTTTCTAGGAAATCTGGTGTTACAAAGAAGCAACAAACCAAAGATGACGATTGAAGGTAAAACCTGGAATGTGATAAAGGACATCCCAACAAGAATGTTAAGACTTTTTTGACTTATAGACTGAAACAATTTGGAATTCTATTTAGAATAAGTGCCCCAATGCCGGCACTTTTTGACAGTCTTTTGAGGCCCTGAGATGCTGGCTAAAAATTTGGCCAAAGAAGAAATACAGAAATTGGAGGTGATATCAGGTTTTAAAGTGGAGAAGAAAGCGAGACATGTAGGAATTACTTTGACCCATAAAAATTCAAACTTGTTCCAGAATTATGAAAAAATATGGAATGAAATTAAACAAGACTTCCAGATGGAACAAATTGACATTGTCACTGATATGAAGAATTTTGGTTATAAAGATGAATGTTTTGCTTAACATGCAATTTTCCTCCCTGACTATGCCTATTTTAACTAATGATTTACCTTTTCATCAAACCACCGAGTTGGAAGGGACATCCAATCCAATGTAACCCCCTGCTATGCAGAACCACAATCAAAGCACCCCTGACACAGTATTTCAGATGAGGTTTGACCAAAGTACAATAAAACGGCACTATTAAACAGAGTTGGCAAAAAGATATATCCAAATTTATAAAGCAGAGTAAAAAAAACCCACGAAGGATAAGGTTTATGTTCTTACAAGCTAGGATCCACTGGGCCCCAAGCAGCCAACCAACAGCCTTGTTGTGGCTCTCAGCCCACAGCAGATCATTGATTTTCCCCAGTCTCTTAGATCACCCTTTCCATTCTTGCTGAGCTAAAGGGGTCCTCCTGAGACTATCTAGACCAGGGGTC